ATTTCACTCAAATAAGAAATAAAAGTTTTATTTAGGTTTCTATAGCAGCATCTGCCCTTCTGTTAATATTCCTCAGGGTGATGTGACTTTGACACCCGATGCAACGTTGTTTAGAGAACATGTCATGTAACATCAGTCTAAATTGGAAATTTTAAACTCATTTTAGCTTTTAAAAACTCAGCCCTTCTGGGATTCCCGAGCAAACAGAGATACACGATGAATCTGCCCAGCAGGTGTCCTTCCTGTTCTCCATCCATCCATTCTCTTTTCACTTATTTTCTTACTCTTTCACTTATCCTTTTGGGGTTCTGGAGCCTATTCCAGCTGTCTTAGGGTGTGAGGCAGGGTACACCCTGGAAAGGTCGGCAGTATGTTACAGGGCTAACACATAGACACAGACAGTTTGGGCAATTTAAAGTTTCCAGTTAACGTATCCCCACTAACAGCATGTCTTTGGACTATTGGAGGAAACCGGAGTACCCAGAGAGAACCTACACAAACATGGGGAGAACATGCAAACCCCGGCCTTATGGTGGCAGGGAACTTCTTGCTGTGAAGCAACAACCTCAACCACGGAACCAGTGGAGGATTAGTAACTCTACCCTGAGCTCATCACTATCTCTTAGGCTGAGCTCAGACACCATTTAGAGAAAGCTCATTTTTCCTGTTTGATCTTATTTTGTCAGTCAAAGGTGAGGGTAAGAACGAAACCGAAAATCTACAGCTTCATTTGCAACATTTCTTTTTTTTTTTTTTACCACAACAGACCAGTAAAGCTTTTGTATCACTGCAAATGCCAACTTTTCACAAAGTTAAATTGTAGCTAGTTCATACTAATTCCATTTGCAGTATCCCAGGCTCGTCCACATTCATAAAACTCTTTATCCCCCTAATGACTTCTGCAATTCAGTTTTCTTCCTACAGCATGACAGTTTTTCTGCTCTGTGCAGAAACAGCAGAGGAAGAACCAGACGGCTGGGTACACTCAGCCAAACTGCTGACTCCACTGCCACACACTTTAGTATCAACCAGTAGTGCATTTTGTATCAGAAAATAAATCAGGATCCCAGCAAATCTCAACACCAGCACTCCTGTTATTGCCAGAATCATGTGGAAAGCTCTTTGCCTTGATTGGTCAACCCGCCCCTTGTTCCCACCTCCTCTGGCGCCGGATGAATCAGAGTGTGAAGTACAGACAGGCAGCAGAAAGAAATAAGTAATATGCAGATGCTCATGTTGGAGAAAAATGGTATTGTAGGAAAATTTGGCCAGTACAAGTGTTCCACCCCCATTCGCCCAAAGCCCACCACCCAAACACACACAATGATGATGTTTCTAATCTTGATCCCCTGAGATTCTCGCAGATGCCTGTAGGTGATGGGGTGAACAACAGCCAGATAGCGCTCCAAACAGGTCAGGAGATGAAGCATAACCTGTACAGGTAATGTAATGCTGGAGAAATACTGCCCTAACACAAGCAGTGTGTTATTACCATTATATTTGTACACTTTATTGAACTAACAGAAACTCCAAAAATCTCTAAAATCATCATGTTGTAGGTGAAGAAGTCAGAGTGGCTCATTGTCATCCCTGCAGGTGTAGAGCGCTGACGGCGCCAACGCTGGAAACCCATGTAGAGGATGAGGATGTAGAGCGGTAAGAGGAGGAGGATGCTGCTGACGCTGTAAATCGTATGCATTACTATGCTGGATGCTGAGTGTTGGCATGCTAAGTCAGAAGAAATGAAGGTGTTGATGGAGTTGTAGGAAAAAAGAGGTGGAGTAAAACTGAGGGAGGACGAGGAGTCGATGGATATGACCTATAGAAGACAGAAGAAGAAAAATAAGAGTAAAATATGGATTAATTGTATGTAATTTGGTACGGCAAACATCCTAAAGATCACATTCCAGGAGATTAACAGTTACTCTAAGAGAGCTTAACCCAACAGCAGGACGGGTATTTGCTCCTTTGTGCAAGCAAGAACAGGACGAGCACTATCAGAGCTACTAAATAACCTCCAGCAGGCCTTTGGTGTGAATCTGACCGAACATTCAGAAAAATCATCATCGTGTGTAATTTACGTTGAGCAGGCTAACCACATTATTACATTAATGCATGTAAGGTGAACTAGCAAACATCATCATAGTTACATGCGGCTGTCTTCTTGTTTGATGGCAGATACTCCCTTCACCCTGGCC